TTCAAAACCAATAAAATAATGTTCCAAGAGATTATATACTCTAGCATAGAATAGTTCCTATGGAATCAAAGGTAGGATGACTTTACAAAATTAAAGACCTCACTAAAATACATTGTAAAAAATATGTTAATATAATATATATTTATGGGTGGTGACTTAATTTGACCATTATATTATGTAATTCATGTAATCCAAATTGCACTGTAGAGATTTACAAAATTCAGTCATTAGACTTTTAGAGTATTTGTGATTATTTTGAGTTCACAAATTTACAAAGTTGTTTAAAGATGATTTTTAAGTGAAAATAAAACAACTATAGTAGAGTACAATGAAGGCAACATGCCTAAAGAAAAATACATATTTTTAATCCATGCTCTATACAAAATGGATCTTATGTTCTATTGAGATATCAAACTTTTTATTGCATGCACATTTCATTCCCAAAGTATTTAATTATATTTCAATTTACCCAATTGAAATGTGTTTTTCTGGTTTCTCTACTAGTTATTATATGATAAAATTACTATAATTTATAACAATAAAATTCAATTTTTTGGTTTGCTTAAGCAAACCTGTAGGGGGATTGGGATGGTAGTGGATATACTTAGAATATGCTTGGATATTCTAGGATATTCTATCATCTAACTATTGTTATTCATTTAGATCAATTTTGTATTTATAATTTATAAACATGTTTATAATTTATAACTTTCTTAAACCCTTTTTAGTATATTATTTTTATTCTATAATATGCAATTAGATTAATCTTATGTTTATAAATTATAAACATGCTTATAATTATAAACTTTATTTATTCAATTGGATTAATAAATAACAATAATACTACTATTAAGAAAATCAAGCATTGCTAACAATTTATTTAAAAATCAATAATTATTCTAACAAAATATTCTTTAGTAAGCTGTATTTTTTTTCAACCAAATCAGGTTTTAGAAGGATTTTGTTTACATACCAACAATCCTTCTACAGCACATTGTCTAGACATGCAAGTAGCTTCTTCTGATTTCACCTGCGTTTCAAACATTTCATGATGCATAAATACAATACTCACTTCAAGCATTTCATCCAGAAGATTAACTTCCAAAGGTCTAGGCGTGTGAATGTGCACAAAGGACTCATGAGTTTATTAAGTCATCACTAAAAGGCATTATTCAGGTGGGAATCTCTTCTGGAAATCTCTTCTGGCTGTGCTGAGGGTCACAAGACAGCCTGGTCTATGTAAGTTTCTAGCATTTAGACAAAATGGACGAGGTTCTAATGTGAAGGAGTAGAGCTTATCAAGAGCTCTTAAATTACTACTAGACGAACTTTTGCTGATCAAAATTGGAAAAACTTGTTTTCAGATCTTTAATTCAGAAGAGCCGCCTGGAGCTTGGTGATGCTCCTGCATCATTGTCATGCTGGACTTTGCTTATCATTTGATTAGCAATGTCTTTTTGATAGCTGCTATTTCTCAGCATTGATTAAAAAAAAGGGCAATTAAATTAAATGTGTTGTCAAAGTTGAGCTCATCTCATCTCGCCCTAAAACGAGAGAGCGCCAAACCCTACAAAGGTTTTTAAAAAAGTGAACACATTTAAACAACAAATCTTCAAGTTGATAACGACCCAGTAAAAATTGATATAGATAAATTGAAACAAAAATAAATATACTTTGTGTTCAATCTCCCCCCGCATACACACCCACCACGGGCACAGGCTCGGGTAATAGCGGCTGTGCCGCCGCCCGCCGAATGCCCCGGCTCCGTGCCATGAACATCATCGGTCACGCCGCCGGTGTTCCTCTCTGGCCCGCGAGTGGGCGGCTCTCTCCGCTTTTTTCTTCCTCCGCTATGATGACATCAGAGCTCTGATCTAACGAGGCTCTATTACACTGCAAATTCCTAGAGAATTGCCATGGCCTTTTGTCTCTAACATATTGTGGTTGCATCCTCCTGATTCAACAAAACATTTATTTACTTATAAATTCATTTCAACAATGGCAGAAGTGCTTGGTTATTTTCAGCCAATGCTTGGTGTTCTGACTACCCTGTTGCTGCAGTCGGTGTAGATTCGAACACGGTTTGTATCAAAGTCTGCAGTAACTGAACACGACTCATAAAACACAATATGAATCTCCAACTTGGGATTGTCAGCCAGAATCTGCTCCCTTGCGTAGATTGCATCCTTACCAACAAGTTCAGGCCATGCTGTCTTTGCTGCATCATAACAGTATCAAAATATAAGCGTCCAAACAGGACTAACAACGTAAAAACTCACCAGCAGTGCTGCTTGTAACAAGCAGCATACAAATGAACAAAGCCACACAAACAACTGCTTTCGATGCCATATGATCTAGATCCACTCGGAACTCGCTATCCAAACTACAAAATGAGAATTAACATAGACGAGCTCACATACCTTATATACTGAGATAACCACAACGTGCTGCACAAAAGTCGTTTGCTCCAGACGTAAACGGCACTTATGTGTGTACGTGTCTGGAGCGAACGACACGTACTATCCTTAATCTGTTAACCGTACGGCACCCCATTCAGATTCAGCAGTCAAATGGGACTTGGCTCATGATTTGTGACACACAAGCTGCAGAAAATTCAGCTCAGTGAAACGTTCTGCATAAAAGTCATTCAGTCAGAACATGATGTCTTGACTTCATGTGATTTCTCAAGTTTCTCGGCAGCTGCACTTAGTAACATTCAGAAAATCTAAATCAAACCATAGCTTCGAGTTATCTCTTAGAAATAAGCAAATTCTGCAATAATATGAAGGCCCAATAGAAACACAAATTGAACTCTTGGTCCCACTTCCTTTGCAAATGCCAAGGTTACCAACTTAACACTGTACTTAACTTGCAATAGATTCAAACATGAATTCAACTGGTGATATTAGGTCACAAGAATTATGTTGATATATTTACTGCCAGCAATCAGATTTCAAGAACCCTAAATAGGAATTTCCCGCTCAGTCATTAGGGTTCTTCTTTCCTGGGCTTAGGGCTTTAGCAGAGCGTGGGGATGTTGGGAGGCAGCCGCGCGTTGCAGCTGGCGGTTTCTTCTCATCCATCTTGCCTGGAGAAGCCGGGAATCGGCATTTCCAGCGCCGGATTCGACGCGATTGGAGCTCCATCCACCTCATTGCGGCTCCGAAGCAGCAGATTTCCTGTTAAATGTGGACACACCGCCACGGCGCCGCTCAAGGATGCCGGTAAGAAGGGATTGGAAGTGAAGATAGAAGACTACTTGAATATTGCGGACAATGTCACTCAGGTATGTATCAATTTTTCGAAAATGTGTCTTAGTCTTTTCTATAATTTTTCCAGCTTGTTGGGAAGACTCCTATGGTTTATCTAAACAAGGTTGTGAAAGGCTGTGTTGCAAACGTTGCTGCCAAGCTTGAAATGATGGAGCCTTGCTGCAGCATCAAAGATAGGTGAGTAGCGTAGAATTTGTCAGTCATGCTTACATTTTGCTTCTGTTTGTGGTTTTATAGGATAGCCTATAGTATGATAGCGGATGCCGAAGCAAAGCAGGATATAGCTCCAGGAAAGGTAGTTTAAGGACCGTGAAATTTTACGCTTGCTCACGTAATGTTCTTCGCAGACTGTCCTTGTAGAGGCCACAAGTGGTAACACGGGTATCGGACTCGCTTTTATCAGTGCCAGTAAAGGCTACAAGCTAAAGCTCACGATGCCAGCGTCTTTGAGTAACACTGAGCGTAGCATTCTGCTGCGTGCTTTTGGAGCGGAGGTAACTCTCACGGATTCCGGGAAGGGAATGAGAGGAGCCGTTCAAAAGGCGCAAGAGATTGCAAGCAAGACTCCAAATGCATACATGCTAAAGCAGTTTGAGAATCCTGCGAACACAAAGGTACGAGAAGATAGTTTCTTTTCTACTTTTTATTTTTACTTGTAGGTTCACTTTGAAACCACTGGACCCGAGATCTGGGAGGACACGTGTGGGAAAGTTGATGTTCTTGTAGCATCTATCGGAACCGGTGGCACGATCACTGGCATCGGAAAGTTCTTAAAAAGCCAAAATTCCAATATAAAGGTGATCCTTTGGTTTGATGTGTATACTAAAGCGAGTGTTGCGATTCCAGATATGTGGTGTCGAGCCAGCCGAGAGCGCAGTTTTATCCGACAAATCAGGTGCGTATAAACTTTAGAAGGATTCCTTCCAGTGATGACTTGCCGTTCTCATGGCAGGCACTAAACTCGTGAGTCCTTGGTGCAGGCATTTACGCGCCTGGACTCTTGGAAGTTAATCTCCTGGATGAAGTGCTTGAAGTGAGCTTACATTATATAAGCATCACGAAATGTTTGAAAAACACATTCTATTCAGGTGACAACAGAAGAAGCTACTCGCATGTCTAGACAACTTGGCGTAGAAGAGGGACTATTGGTATATAAACTTGATCGCTTTTAAATGCTAATGTTATTTGATTACTCAGGTTGGAATCTCTTCGGGAGCGGCAACTGTAGCTGCGCTCAGGGTCGCAAGACGGCCTGAGAATGCAAACAAGCTCGTCTGCGTGAGTTCTAGCATTTTGGCGAGCTTAACAATGTGTAAACTTCTCACAAACGTAATCTCTTACAGGTAGTGATTCCTAGCTTTGGCGAGCGCTATCTTTCTACCGTTCTCTTCCAGTCTTTGAAGGATGAAGCCGAAAAGATGCAATTCGAGAAGTGAAAGCGGCAAGTCAGGTAGATTTTGAAAATTCATTCGTTTTTTTGTAGCACTTCCACTGCGCAAATACTTTTGTAACAAGTGGAAGTCTGTACACCACGTAGTTGGATTGGAATACTTTACAGGCAAAGTTTGTTGGACCGATCTCCCGGTGAATAGTCTGTGGGTCACTTATTACTCATGTCTGATTCGGACGTGCGTCGATCGTCACTCACTCAATCGAGGCCTGAACACCATAGATTCAATCATTTTTTCATCGCCACTCATTTTCTTTTGCACTTGTTTCTCCTCGTAGGTGGTCTACGCTACTTGATAAACCGTTGCTAGCCAGCAGTGCCAATAATTGGGATTGTCACGAGAACATGGAGACAAAGTGCAACGATGCTCAAAGATTCGGCAACGTCCTCGCTGCATTTGACTAATCCGTCCATCCAACCAAACAGTCGCCAGGGCCAACATATTATATTTTTGAGTGAAAGCCGGGCGAAAAATCATCGCCCACGAGTAAGTGTTTCTTTTTATCTGTTCTTGCTCGTTGGTTGCTGACTTGTTCTTTGTTTTCTCTGTCTCCATCAGGTTCCCAGTGGAAACGCTCGCAACCACAACAACCACGCAAGCAAGGTGCTGTGTTCTTCTTTTTCTGCCTGACAAGGGAATTTTACCTTTTCTTTTGCGTTTTGTTTGTAGCTCCGGTAGCAAACTTTGTCGCGCTAGAGAAATTCCGTCCGTCCCACAGTCGGCACGAGAGCAATGGAAACGACTGAAGAAGGTTGCCTCGATCCTCGCTTTCAATTCATTCAAGTTTGGTGAGTTGTGAGTTGGAGGTTTGAAAGGAACAAGCAAGTTGAGCAGGGCCTGGATTGGGATCGGAAAAGATCTGGCCAGCCAGAAGAACATGCAATGGGGGTAAAGATTTCAATTTCCATTCCACAGAAAAAGAGGAGGTGGGAGACAAATTTGATTAATAATTCTGTAACTAAACGTTTCTTTGTTGTGTTTTTTTTGGCGCCAGAGAAAGTTCACTTGGATGTAGCTGCAGCACCAGCCAAGCAAGGACAAATATGAGCAATGCTTGTTTACTGGAGCAGCCCAGGAACATACAGAGCTAAACATACATATCTGTGTGTTTTCTTTTTGGTGGCAGCTAGCCATAGGCAGTCTGCAGCTTTGTTGGTGATTCTCCAAAATTTTTTGGATTTCCAAAAGATCTCAATGGAAACAAGCAGGGTGTTGTAAGAAACTAATTTGAGCAGATTGGTGGTCCTTTGGATAAAAGAAATGGCAAGCTTGACTTTGTATTTGATTGGATCATGATAAATTGCTTTTGGAAGCTGTATCGTTGTGGGCACTTGATGAGATTCAAGATCAATGGAACCACTAAAATAAAATTCTAGCTTTTTCAATAGGAATTGATGGTTTTGTTTTCTTGTGGAGGGCAAAACTCTCTTCTACACATTTGGAGTGTTTTGTGTGTAGCTCACTGGAATTTGGGTGGCAACCAAAAATGCCCAGTGTGGGCATTGAGATATTATGTGAAAGGTAGTCCATCCCATCCCTCTAGAGCAAGAAAAGGAAGAAACTCTCTAGCCCTAGTTCTCACTCCCAAGGAGAAAAGAAAAGAAAAAATGAAAGAGAAGAGCTTTTGGGGCTTTTGATCGATAGAATTCCTCCTTGCAAGTACCAAATCTTTATCGCGAAAGAAGAAGAAAATGGGCTTGTGCCTGTCCAAGAAGGATGTGTTGATCCAGAAACCCCAGCGCGATCATCTGCTGAGCCTGAGCGGCATCCACAACGCCGCGATTCTCGTCCCCGACAGCCCCTCCATCTCGGTCGTCTCCACTGAGCTCTCCAGCCTCGCCGCGGCCGAGCGCCACCTCCTCAAGAACCGCAGCAGCAGCGGCGGCGCGATGCGATCCAGCAGCGCCTCCAATATGGCCGAGTGTGGGAGCGTCCGCGAGTGGCGATTCCACCGCAACAGCAGCGCCGGTAGCGGCAGCGTCAGGAATCTCCTCAGCAGCAGCAGCGACGCCGACGCCGACGATCTGGCCAGCGGCGCTTCCTACAGCGCCGCCGCTCGATCGTCGGGGTTTTCGTACCTCTCCAGCCCCATGGTCGAGGCCATGGACGCCGCCTTTGGCCTGGACAGCATCGCTAGGAGCTACGCGAAGGCCAGGGAGAGATTCGAGCTCGACGGCGTTGGCGCTGGGTTGAATCCCAGGCTCCTGGAGATCGACGAGGACGAGGAAGAACACGAAGAAGAAGAACGCCACCAAGAGCAAGAAGAAGACGACGATGGTATGAGCGAATATTCGTCGACGTGCTCGTCGCTGGGGATCAAGAAGAAGAGCCAGGCGAGGAGCTTGCACGTCTTTGGCGAGGTCTTTGGGGAGCCCACGCCGCGGATCAACAGGATGGCGGCTCCAGCCATGCCCACCATTCGAATCATCGCGGGCGAGAGGGATTCCTTCTCCAAGAAATGCGATGTCTCGGTGTTTGGGGCTGATCACTACTTCCACGCTCGCAATCTCCACCCATCCCAGCAGCACGCCGCGCGATCATCGGTGGATTTCGGCCCTGAGATCGCTGGATCGGGCGAGCAGCCGCAGCACAACGTCCATGTTCGCAGCGCGCGCTGGGGATTCGTCCTCGATTCCGGTGGATCCGACGAGATGGAGGGCGACGAGGAGCTCTCGCGATTGAGCACTAGCAGCGTCTTGGTCGAGCCAATCTCCAAGCCCTCGTTCACCAACTCCTCCAATGCTGCCGTGTTCATGGCTGTTCCTCCCCGATCGGAGTCGTGGCACGCGAATTTCTCCTTCTCACACATGAATCCATCCTCGGCGGCGGTGAATCCTCCTCCTCCCTTAGCCAAAGATCAAAGATACGAGGATTCTATGACCTCTAGATCTAGCACCACGAGCAGCAGCCACGATTACTCCTCTTCCTCGCGTGATCTGAGCTCCAACCTCAACTCGTATGGATTTCCTCCTCCTCGCGCGGCCGCGAAGAAACTCGTGAGGGACTCCTCCCTGTCTTCATCCGAAGAGGGTGACTCCAGCAATTTCCAGAGATTGCCATATGATCGTTGTGATCTCGATGGCGACGACAGCGATAGCAGCAACGATCTTTTCGAGATCGACAACTTGGGCAAGGACTTCTTGCTCTATCCCATGAACAGCGCGTTTCTCCAGGATCCAGACATCTCCTACTCGTCCGCTGCGAACAAATCGACGATCTCCACCAAGGGCTCCAATCCTCAGCACCAATTCCAGCCGAGGATCGTCGGCCATAGCAGTGGATCATCGATCCTGGGGCCGACGCAGCGCGCAAATGTTTTGGTTTCTTCGCATTCCAAGCCGAGGTCGTCAAGTGGCAGCGATCTAAACTTCCAGCCGCCAAGGAAGAGTGTCAAGGGGAGGAGGAAGAGCGGCAGTGGGTTTCATGGGATCTCATCGGTGGAGAACGAGAGCTTCTACGCGAGATAGAAATCTCTCACTCCACTCTGGATCGATCAGTGTGGATCATGCATTGCTCCTTTTGTGTTTTATCTATATAAACTTTGGAAGGAAAAATATACGCCTTTTTTAAATTCATATTTTGGCGCGCGAGTGGCAATTTGGGGCAGATCACTTGATGGGCAGCATGAATCGATCGATCAACCCGTCGATTCGATCGATCTACCCGTGGATTCAATCGATCAACACGTCTATTGTAGAAAACATTGCTTGAAAGAGATCGATCGATCTACCCGTGGATTCAATCGATCAACCCGTCGATTGTAGCAAACATTGCTTGAAAGAGATCGATCGATCAGTATCACGTGGCCGATCAATCAATCGCGGCTCAGCGCGCGATGGAGCACCCACTGTGGGCTTTCTCGCAATTGGGCGCGAAGAGATCGACTCATTCTTCCATTTTCCACGCGAAGCACACACCCGATTTTAAAGAGAATTCATTTCCGTGGTCCTGGATCGGGATAAGCGATGGAATATTTGGACCACTGCGCTGTGGTTGGATGGCATGGGTACCCTCTGTCCCCATCGTGGCGCAAGCACAAGCCCTAATTTGCCCGTAAGCCCTAATTTGCCCATAAGCCCTATGCCTCCTGGATTTGTTTGTATGTGGTGTAGGAAGTTTCTGGAATGTCAAAATCCCCCTGGAGAGGGATAGAACAAAAATGTATGAACCACAATGGAGGGAGCTCTCTCTCGAGAAAAAGCCCCCTTTTCTCGCTAAAATATCTCGTGAATCCACTGCTGGGTCCAATGGATTGATTCTCGCCTGTTCTTCTCGTTGGGCCACTGCTCAATCACTCCATCAATCAATCGCAGTCGAGACGACGAGAGAACAAAGACAAACGGACATTCACGCGGCGGGGAGGATCGATCGATCGGACAATGCCGGTGGCCTTACTCCTCTTGCTGCTGCTCGTCTCTTCGTGCTCATCGTCTTGTCCGGAAGAGCAAGGGTCGAGACAAATCCAAGGTATAGCGAGTCCGCTTTTGCACGGGAAAAAAATCTCGCGTATCACTTTTGTTGTTTTGCAATAGGTGTCTCTCGAAAGCTGCTGCAACAAACGCTAACGCCCAAGGTGAGAAATCGATATTTCTTGCTTTTTCTCTTGCGGCCCGCCGGAGATGATAAATGAATGGCAGTATCCCAGTGATCGAAGAGCGATGGTCGGGTCGACGGCGCCCAGCTGCACTTACAACGAGTGCCGGGATTGCAAAACGGAGTGCCGAGCCGAGCAAGTCCCACTCAATGGCCGCAATCCCAAGGAGAGTGCCTATAGATACTTATGTGTCTGTAGGAAGCGACACTAAATTACTTATATTTTCAACAATGGTTTCATTTTAATGCAGGCAATGTTCAAAGTATAAAATCTAGATTTAAATTTTAACCTTATGAAAATGTTAATAAGTTTTAAATAATTATTATTTAAATTTTTTCTTCTGAATTTAAATAAATGGGAATTAATTAATAAATTAAAACTTCTTAGTGGACTTCCATATCTTTTAACATAGTTAATTTATTAATAACAAGTATTTTTTAATTGCTTTTGAAATTTTATAGGATTTTTATAATATTTTAATTTCAGGATTGAAATAAATTTTTAATTCATTTAGAGTGATATAATACATTCCATTAATTAATGTTTTTTTAGAATGCATGATCACATGAATTATTAAGTTGAATAATTAAGTTTCCATAGTTATATTTTACAATTTGTTAATTTTAATTTAGTAATGTTTTTTTTATAAATACTAATTTTTGAAAATATTAAATTTTAAGATTTTTATCAAACTTAATTTAGCTTAACTTTATAATTTACTTAAATATAACTTTACTTTAAGTAAAATTTAACTTATTAACTGAATTACAAAGTACTATAACTTTTAAAATAACCTAACATTTTAAAACATTTTAATTTTGGGTAAATATTAATAGATATCAAAATGATGAGATAATATCATTATATCTAAAACATACATCAAATAAACATATTAAGTACGCCTAAAAAAATATGTATATATTCTATTTTTTAAACTTTTATTTTGGATATAATTAGTGGTTGAACTTTTTTTAAAATTTTATATCTAATTTAAAGTGTTACAGTAATGTATGTTTTAATAATAATTTAAAGTTTTAACAAGGAGTGCATGGAATATGGAAAGGGAATATAAAAAATATGCATATCAATTAGCCTAAAAACCCCAACTTATATACAAGAGCAAGTGATCTATATTGAAATTAATTTGACAGCTACTAAAATCCCATTATACTAATATTAGTTATAGCATTATAATTGTATATTTGGACCTCATATCATCCCCTCCTCTCGAAATAATGAAAGACCATCAGAGTTCTCTCGTAGATGGGCTAGGATCTAAAGAAACATTAAGAAGAGGCATTGGTGGATCTGTAGGTAGTACTAGTTCTTTTCTATCCTTATATACGAAGTGTTTCAATTGCTACACCTATATAATTTTTGAAGGATCAGTCTACTCAATGTCATGCCAAACCTTATAAACTTGTGGTCCAACTTGCCACAACATCTGATACAATCCTTTCCACTGAGCAAAAAGCCTCTTAAATAAACCACATATCATAAGATGGGGAAAATGAACTAACATCAAATCATCCACTTTATACTTTGCATGCATGTTTTATAATAGGACACCTGCCAAGAACAGGAAAATCATGGTAAATATGGAGAAACCATGGAATAAAAATTGAAGGCACCACTAGCCGTAAATGATCATTAGGATCCATACCTACAAAATAAAGAAAACCGTCTTCAAAGCGATATTAAGAATGTAAATGCCAGAATGGTGAGTCATCAATAAATAATGCACCACCGACGGCATAGAATCCTTGTCTAGATAATCCATAGATTCTAAAATAATAGGTATAGCGCACTTTATCTCTCTCACCTTAAGCCAACTGGAAAAGGGGTAATTGCTTGATGAGAGAGCTTTTAGTGGTTATTTTATCCCCATTTATCCCCTAAGGTTCTAAGGATCCACGGTGACAATATATCCAAATCTCATCTCATGATCACATGCACTACACTCACCCCCCTTTTAAAGATGTCAATGTCCTCATTGATTATTGACTAATAACCCTTACTGAGCCAAGGGGAATCAGCACTTCCATTTCCGCACTGAATCTACCAATCCTTCCATTGTGTAGACTAGCTATTTCATATGAGGCAACTAGTCATTCACCCGTACTGTAGTCCCATAGTGGATACTTTCATCCGTGGATACTCCACACTCACCCCCTTTTCAGAGATGTCAATGTCCTCATTGATTATTGACTAACAACCCTTATTGAGCCAAGGGGAACCAACACCTCCACATAAGAGGAAGGACGTACGCATGGATGCCTAATACGTATGATTTTCAAATTTAGGGGTAGGAATATACCTTGCTCAAGGGTATATTATATTTTTAAGTAGCCACTAATACATGGGAATCAAACTCGTGCCATTTGCTCCGATACCAATTGTAGCGCACTTTATCTCTCTCTCCTTAAGTTAACTGAAAAAGGGGCAATTGCTTAATGAGAGAGCCCTTAGTGGCTATTTTATCTACCAAAGTCTTCTGCTTGAAATTCTCATTGCAAAAATCACAAACTAGAGAAGCTTTTCTTGCAATACCTAGCACTCGGTCTTGAAGAAGATGATATGGGCAGAGCAAAGGCTACACTTGCTACTGCCTGCATTCACACGCCTGCACTCCTAGGGTAGTGAAGCAATGCCTCACAGTCATCCCCTGCTCGTCAACCGACCCTGCCAATCCTGAGCTCCCGAAAATATCCTGCCGAGTCGATCTAACACATAAGCTATTCCTAGCGCCAATGCAGATCCACATGTGGACGTCGCCTCCTTGTGATTTTCCACAGCGACCACAGAGAGGGCTTCCGGTCATCGACACGGGACCGGACAGAGGAGCGTCGATCCTGGTGGTGGCAGTGCCGCTTGCAGGGCACGGCGGTGAGGAGGCGACCGAGAAGAAGAATGCGGACCACCACAGACACCCTCTTGGCGCTGTTCCGGGAGGCCACGTGTTAATATCTTGTTGACAATTGCATGACATCGTGATGCTCAATTCATTGCTAGAGTCCTCACATGTTAACACTGTTGAGTTTTAAGTCTTCACATTGTTTAACACCCACAATCGTCAGGCCTTCACACTAAGTCTGTAAAAAGTTTTTTATGCGCCACACAAGTGCCACCTCGTCCCCAAGCTGCTTAGGTGGACTATGGACCTCCAGGACGTTGACACCAACATATTGCTTGCCATACTTTGACCACGACACCAAAGAGAGCTGTGGAAGAATGGGAATATAAGTTAGAACAGCCGTGATAGATTATCTGGAGAGGAAACTTACTCAATCCAGAATCCAATGTCGCAAACTGCATCTTCTTTCCGTTTCTAAGTACCACCCAAAGCATACAGAGCGACCTGCTTGGTAAGCTCGCTTGAGGCATTCTGAGCAGCTTGGCTGGTCGGACATGTTGTAGCATCCTATGTGGCCGTAGATAGCGTTGGGAAAGTCGCCGCCATAGCCAAGACAGGTAGCAAATCCGTTGAGAGGTTTGTGCTCGTAGAACAAATGGAGGACCGTCTCAGCGTTTTTCTGGTCCTCTGTGGTCTGGGCAGTGTTGTAGTAAATAATGTTGCTATCATTGCCTGGCTCGTAGGATGTCCCTCCTGCCAACTACTCTGCTCAAAGAGAAGGTGGCATTGCCAGCACTAAAAGATTTTGGCTAAGTTAGAATGGGTTGTAAAGGGTGGAAACTTGTGACTTTTAAAATGTGTGTTTGACTTGAGTTGACTCTAGTTTTTGACTCACTTGTGTCAGATTTGAGAAATGAATTAAAGTGGAACTTAAAGTTGGCCTAAGGCCCAGATTAAGGTTCTGCCGTAAGGGCCCACTTTCAACATATGCATTACTTTGAATGTAAGATTGTGAACATATAGTCCTAAGCAGAAAGAATGTGAATGTGACTCCATATGACCAGAATTTTATTTCAACTGCAACTTGGATAAGTCCTTTCTATATATAAGGATACATATAACTCATT